TTATTCCAGGTGGATTTTAAAGCTTTTACTTTCAGGAGAGTAGAGGGACATTTTTAGTTTGGACATTTTTCCCTGCTAAGATCCGATCATTGGTCAGATAGAGGAAAAGAAAAATAAATATATTTTTACTGCATCAAAACTCTTAATTCCCACCGACTGTAAACGCATCAATTGACAGGATGCAGGTTGAAGCACCTTTGGATTAAAATCAGATTAGGTAAGAATTATAAGCTTTCATGGACAAATGATAACAATTATTACTGGCTTGGTAGTAAAGTAAAGTAATTAGATCCTGAATTTTGTTAGAATATTCATTTTTTTTTTATTTAAACTATAAAAAAAACAAAACAAAGTTGAAACAGAAACTGAGGTCCTGTGTTGTTGGGTTATTTTTTTGTGCCATAAATAAAACGTTTGTGTTTTTTGAACCCCAGTGGGCCTCAGCAGATGGCCGCTCACACCGAGTTCAGCTGGAGGTTTCTTCCTGTTCAAAGGGAGTTTTTCCTCTCCACTGTCGCTACAAGCATGCTTAGTGTGAGGGATTGCTGAAGAGTCAATGCAATCAGCTGGTTTTCCTTAGATAGAAAACTTTGAATCAATCTGACTGGATGATCTGGTGAACTGGAAAGTGACCTGAGATGAGATGATGTAAATTGGAGCTATAGAAATAAACTGAATAGAATTGAAAACGTTACAATTTGGATGTAAATTGGTCCTCTGGTCGTTGATCACTACTGGAGAGATCAGTGTGGGGATTTTACTCACATTTAAATGTAAATAAATCCTCACACAATTTAATTTAATCATTTAGTGTCCACTGTGGCGACTCTTAAATAGAAAATAAGATAATTTGCTAATGGAATTAGTATTTTTGCTCTTAAAATAACATAATTAGATACTATGCACTTAAAATAAGACAATGCAGTATCTTTTTTAAAAAACTGTAAATTGTCTTTGTTGCTTTGGCAAAGTTTATCACTTACAACCTTACATCAAGAAAATATGCACTTATATTAAGAAAAAAATAGTTATTTAGAAAAACAAAATTGCAGTATGTTGTTTAACACATTAGATAGTCCTACAAAAAAAACAAGAATCCTCTCAATTCCAAATAGAATTTATGATCCTGTAGATTAAAATCCTCACTAACAAACACTTAACTCTAATGAACCTGACAGAAATGTCAAGTTTTGAGGAAAAACTGTGTTTTTATTAAATAATCAGCTTCATATCAATAAGTTTGTGGCACATTTATGTGTTACGTGTCTAATAGTGAAAATCGACCCAAAGAGGAAATGGTAAGAAGACTGAGATTGCTGCATCTCTGATTGGATGTTTTATTCCAGGAACATTTAATGAACCCGTACAGGAGTCTGTTTTAATAATTAATCCTCAGTACACTGGAAAAAACGATCTAGAAATAACAAAACATTTCTTAAATTAAGTGTATTTACCCTTAATTTGAGTAGGTAACTGAGATGGTTTGCCAATATAATGAGTATTTTTACTCTTAAAATAAGATAATTAGATAATATGCACTTTAAATAAAACAAAGCAATTGAGTTTTCTTATTTTAAGTGTAAATTGGTAAGATGTCTCTTTAATCTCCTCAATCCAAGAACAAATACACTTATTTTAAGAAAAAATGACTTATCTAGATAAGGCAAACAGAAAATTGTGATAAATACTGACTTAAAAAAAAAAACACGCTTTATTTCAGATAATCCAAGAACTAAAGAAGTTTTAGTTCTTCATCGATATAGTTAATCTCTGCTGTTAACAGGCGAGTTTAGGGTAAAAAACAAACCGAAAAACAACCTGAGTGGGACTGAACCCAACAGAACCAGAAGGAGGAAATGTTCTGTTGCTGCTCTGATTGGAGGTTTCTCGCATCCTCAATTACACAAAAACAGCATCTATGCCCTGAAGCTCTCAAATCCATGGTGAAGCTGTTTGGTTAAGCCCATAAAAGCTGCACAGGAACTATTCAGAGAAAATAATGAGTGGATGAGGACTTTAACTGACCTGAACCTCCGCTGAGTCTGGAAGCTTTCTCCACAATAAAAGGCTTTTATTCATCCTAATCCAGATTAACAACCGTATGATCACATGTTAAACACTATTAGGTGGATTTAAGATTTGACTATGAGTATCGATACTTTTACTTAACTACTATTGATGAGTACTTGGTCCGTCGCTGCCTAAATTAGTCGCCAAACGCTCAGGATTTCTAAAACATGTCCATTAATCCGGTTTCTTCTGTTTACATCTGGTTCTATTCTCTATTGGAGACCTCTCATCTGTATGACATGTTTTATTTCTTAAAGTCAAACTTTATGTTTTGAAATGCATATAACCAGGCAGAGTAATTAATAATAAATGTTAAGCTGTTTTCTTTCGGCCGGGTAATTAGCCAATCCCACGCCAGCTTCCTCTCTGCGTCTGGAGATCATTTAATCTGATAAATCCTCCACATCCCTGCAGCTGCTGCTTCACCTCATGTCTGTCTCAGGTGAGCAGATTGACATCAGGCGTGTAAATAAGCTGAAGTTCATCCCAGACTCGACACGTTTTTCCTGAAAGGAAAACATGTTCCCATCGGTCTGGTATGCGAGCTGCTGCTGTGCTTCCCTTCCTGTGAGACGGACGTTCTCTGATCTTTATCTTCTACTAAGATAGTAGAAAAAAAAATTTGCTAATTTACTGTCATCATGAAGGTTGTTTTTAGTTCATCAGGGATATTTTTACACTCTGCCTCTTTCCTCAGAACACTTTCTAATCACTCCTCACTTTTTCTAACAATTCATTTCTTTGCAGTTGCATTTTACATTTATTTATATACATATATATATATATATATATATATATATATATATATATATATATATATATATATATATATATATATATATATATATACATAAAGCATATACACATGCACCTACCTGGGAGGGAAAAAAAAATATGTTCTTAAACGGTAGTGCTAGCTTAATGGTAACTTTGCTAGCCAGAGGTTAACTGGTGGTTCTGTCTAAGCTGACTAGGTGAAGTAGCAGGGAGATTTGTAAAATTCATACTGGTAAAGAAACGTAACAAATGAAGCCAAAACTAAACCTATAGTTTGATCCACAGAAGCTTAATAGTCAAAGCAAGGCAAGGCAAGGCAAGGCAAATTTATTTGTGTAGCACAATTCAGTACAAAGACAATGCAAAGTGCTTTACATGATTAGAATATAGGAAAATAAAACTAAATCAAAGCAAGTAGAAGGAAAAAAATGCAGAAACAAGAACAGTAAAAGCAGTTGGACTAAAAAAATGAACTAATGGTGTTTTAGTTGAACTGTTTAACTAGAACAGTGGAAGGCATTCGTAAACAAATGTGTTTTTAGTCTTGATTTAAAGGAACTCAGGCTTTCCGCACTTTTACAGTTTCCTGGAAGTTTGTTCCAGATAAGTGGAGCATAGGAACTAAAAGCTGCTTCTCCACGTTTATTTAGTTCTGGTTGTAGGTAGACCTGAGTGGTCTGGAGGGTCGATACACTGATAGCAAGTCTGCCTAAATATTCTCCAAGGTTTTGTCCCAGAGAATGCCTAAAAAAGTGAAAGTTTTTTTTAAACCACCTATAATCTCTGATGGAGGGAATTTTCTCAATCTTTCCAGATCCTTTAGTTTCAGACATCAGACAGAAGAACACACCCGTTTCCGCCTGAGCTCTTGATTCGGTTGATAGACTGGAAACTGCATATAAACACATTTGAAGATTGCAGACTTCATTAAGGGTGTTTATACTCTCCCAACCCACACACACATAAACAAGCACAAACCATTTTCTCTGAAAGCTGAACTCCAGTGAAAGGACTCAGGATGTCCTATCTGAACTCCATCTGCGTTTATTCCCGCCTCACTGTAGGCTGCTATCTCAGTCAGACGGTGCTTATGTAAGAAGGGGGAATGCAGGAGATAAAAATCAACCAAAAAGTCAGAAGTAGAGAGAGGGAGCCGATGGGAGGGCATAAAAAGACGGTTTGGTTGAACAAAGCCGGAGTTCAGATGGAGAGTAGGACCTGGATAAGATCAGATGCACCTTCAAACGCTGGCAGGAAAGAGTCCAGCAGGAGCGCCGTGTCTGTCATGGGCCTACTGCCGACTTTAGCCTCCACAGTTTTATCTACGACAGTCAGCATGCTGAGAGAAAATGCTGCTGTTAAGAGCATAAACAAACGGCTCAGCAGGAGGTAGGAAAACCCGGAAGAAGACTCAGAAAAACTCGAGGAAAACCAGGGAGGACTCTTCTGGGATCTTTATCCGCATTTACCGCTTAGTTTTCCATTTGTTGGGGCTTCCTGAACCATAACAGGATTGTCTGAGAAACTTAAGCCGGGCGTACACTGTATGATTTATGGCCGTTTTTGGGCCAATTTTCCAGTCATGCGAGAATTTTTTCCATCGGGCCGAGTTTCCGCCTGATCGTGCGTTCTGCATCATGTAGTATATAGGGGGTATCGAGGGGCGATCAGCCTCTCACATCTCCCAATCAGGAATCGTAAAGTCGTGAAATGTCTGAAATGTGTGAAATTCAGTCGGCCGTCGTGAGGGTGTCGTGGGAAATCCTGGCGTTGAAGCAGAGCTACGACCCAATTTACCAGAACCTCCAGCACTGCGTATGTGCAGACAAGGAAGTTCTTCTTCTTCCTAATGGAAGAGTCCAGCCAGCGCCATTTCTCTACGCTGAGTCCGACGTGGTTTTTAGACGTACAGTGTGAGCAGGTAGATCCTATCAGAGCGATATATCGTGAATTGTTAACTTTTAAACTGTTTAAACCCTGCGGTTACGTCGTACAGTTATAGCTGTAGCCGCGTGCAAGGACTGAAAATATTGCAAAGTATACGCCCGGCTTTACCAGACAGGAAAATGGCTGACTATAACTCTGCTCAGGATCCATCATTGTGGATTTTGTTCACATTTTCATGTATTCCCTCTGTTTTTTTTTTCCCACAGAACCATGTCGTTTGCAGAGATGTACTGGCCGGTGCCGATGCGCGCCATCGGCGCTCAGAATCTCCTTACAATGCCAGGAGGGGTTTCCACCGCAGGGTACCTCCACAAGAAGGGAGGTAGTCAATTTAGTCTCATGAAATGTAAGTAGAAACAAGATCTTTTATCCTAAATGTCTAAATTCAGCTTCCATCTTTAAGGTTAAACCAATAGAAACATTCCTAATACACATGGCTCTCTGCAGGGCCATTGAGGTACATCATCATCCACAAGGGTTGCGTGTACTACTTCAAAAGCAGCACCTCTGCTTCGCCACAGGGGGCGTTCTCTCTCAATGGCTACAACAGGTCAGTAAAAATTCCTCGCAGTCTAGATCCACCTCCTGGTGATGTTTCAGCCCAGCGTACTAATGGTAGCATCGCTTTTAATGATCAGACATTAACACCAAACCACCTTAATCAGACTCCTTGAAAGGAGATGAACAAGATAAAATCTGGTCAATACCTGTTTCTCAAAAAAGGTCAAAAACAATCCTCTGCACTTTCTTTTCCCAAGTTTGAAGACATTTCGCTTCCCGTCCAGGAAGCTTTTTCAATTGAAAATGTCAGAAATAGTGTTGAGTTCCAGGCTTTGTACCAGGGGCGCAGATAGGTTTTTGAAACTGTGGGGGACAGTTACTATTACTGGCTATTACTCAGCTATGACAACCCATCAATCTTAATTGCCCATCATTGCAAGAAAATAACACGTATTGGTACCAAGTACTCACCAAACATGCCACATGACGTGTGAAAAAAAAAGGTTTTATTTAAACATGGACTGACTTTAAGTGCAGGCTGTAAACACACAGAAACACAAACAGCAAAGCCTACATATATACAAAAACAAATTTGTAAATAACTACTTTACATGGCTTTTCAATAAATGGCCTCAAATGAAGAAACAGACTAAGTGAAGGATCCAAAAACCTCTCTCCTCCGATCCTTGCCTTGAATAAATTGTTGGGCAATGTCTTTCTTGTTCAGACTGTCCAGCCTCTCTTGGTGGATGTGGCACACTGCCATTCCATTCAGCCTTTTTTGGGATGTGGTGGACCGCAACCACGTTTTAAGTCTGCGCAGGCCGCTGAAACTCCTTTCTGCCTCAGCAGACGATGCAGGCACAACCATTAACAGTCGGACCACTGTCTCAACTTGCGGGAAAAGGGCGCGAACTTCCACAGGCATTGCTCTTAAGGTCTGTGCAGCATCTGCAGTGGTTTTGCAATTGTATTTCTTCTTGAACATAGCCAATTGAATCTTCAAATCCTCCCACTGGAGCTCGGGATATTCCTCTGCCTTTCTCTGAATATCTCCCCCTACATTGCTTGCAGTAGGGGTCAGCAGCAAGGCCTCCAATGCCTTAAGTGATTCTATTCCAGGCTGCTTAAATGTGTCGGTAAGTTGTGTGTCTACTTTGTCAAGGACTCTGTAGTCCTTGACAAAGCAGGGGTGCGCAGGGGTGCGCACTGTCCACCTTGTGGGACATAAAGGCCTGATAGGCTGCACTGGCCCTTCTCCTTCAGATTTGGCAATGGCTTTGAATTGGTCTTTCAGTTTGCCAGACTGACCAAAAAATGTGCCAAGATCATGAATCCAGGCAAGGGAGTTTCTTATGAGAGGGGACACTGAGCAAGCTTGTTGTGTGACTAAATTCACACAGTGTGCACCACAATGGATGAATGGTGCCAATGGCTGGCTTCTTTGGATCACCGCTTGTGCGCCTGCATATTTGCCAGACATATTAGAAGCGCCATCAAATGCCTGACCTCTAAGGCTTGATATTGGCAGGTTTAATCTCAGTAGCACATCCAATATAATTCTGGCAATATTTTCACCTGTTGTAGAAGTTGCCTCATACAACCCGATGAATTTTTCTTGCACCATCAAATCTTTGTCCACATAACGTAGACACAGGGCCTCCTGCTCCACACCTGAGATATCCCTTGTGCCATCCATTATGATGGCATACTGTAACACTGGGAGGGACTGGATCTCAGCTGCAATTTCCCTGATGATGGATGAACTCATCAAATCTAGCATCTCATTTTGGCAATCCCAAGATGTGTATACTCCCCTCTTTCCAGACAGCCATCTTGTAAAAGCTGGATCCCCCTCAGCTTTGTATGTCAGGAGCTGCTTAAGGTTGCCTTCATGATGTTCATGCCCCCTAAAGGCCATTCCCTGCCTTGCCAGAAGCATAACACCCCCTAGTATTTTTAACAGATTTTCTCTGCTTTCTGCCTGTTGCACACTGACTGCACTGCTCAACTGTGTAGTTACAGGGTTACTCTCATATGCAGCTGTTGTGACAGCCACTTTGTGACCAGCTGATTTTTCGTGGGTAGAGAATCTTTCCAGAGCTTTTCTCCAGTTTTTAAAGCCGGAGCTTACAAAAGCTGGATCTATGCTCTTGGCTTGAGCTGGTTTTCCACTTTTGTAGTATTTGGAGCACTGAAAACAGAGAACACCATTGATTCCAGGATTGACATGCAGCCAGGGATGCTTTTCATACCATCCTTTCTGGAATGACAGAGTACGGTCCTTAAACACTTGCTTTTTCACAAATTTAGGGTCAGGTTGATTTGGTTTTGTATATGTTATGCCAACCTCCTCTTCCTTTCCTCCATCTGCCTCTGACCTTGCCATCTCGTCTCCTGTACATCCTTCTTCTGACCCTCCCTCTCTCTCACATTCTTCTGTCCCTCCCTCTTCTCCCTCTCCTCCTTCTGCCTTTTCTGGCTGTAGGCCTACTGCACTACTACTGCTGCTTCCCTCCAGTGGATCACTTTCCGCTTCATCTCTTTCCCTGCTATCTTCAGTAAACACCTGCAGGCCAGGACCATGATAACATTTTAATATACAATAAACATTATAACTGGTTTAAGGCATTAGCACCATTAACAGTTACTTAATGTGGACATAGGTCTACAAGCTACCACGAGGCTTCCAGTCTCAGACAGGATATCTCTACTAGAGATTGTAAGATTCTATAGATATGCCAATATTGTGTTGCTATGGGGGGGGGGGGGGGGGGGGTTGTCTTCCTGTCTGTGTCAACCAGCATCATATAAACTTTTTGCTAAGCTTCAAAATAATAAAATATATGTATTTTTATGTGGTGCATTTTTGTCTATAATGGTTAGGCCTAATGTCTAAGATAAATTCTGGACAATAATTTACAAGCCAGCAGGCTCTGCCATTCAAATTCAATGGAGATTCAATAGGTATAGGCCTACCAAACACACTGATTCACCTTAAATTTTACACATTGTGGCAGACTAAATGATTTTATTTCTAGTTCAGCTAGTTGGCCTATCAGTCACAACATCTAACTGAGTGTTATAATTAAAATTACAGTTCATAGTTTAAAATCACATAACTGTAGTGGCAGGGGCGGATTTACCATTAGGCAAAACTAGGCAGTTGCCTAGGGCCCCGAGTTCCTGGGGGGCCCCCTAAAACTCCTTTTACATGTATGGTTAATACAGCTATTACTTATTTGTGCACAATAATTATGTTTTTGATAAAAATCCTTTCGCTAAAATGCCATTAGAATGCTTATAATATTAAGTGTGTCTCAGGGCCCCCCCTACAGTGTCCACTACATTGGTTCAGTCCATCTGCTGCGCATGGGCAGAAAGGTCCAAACACATGGCAGCAAACTATTTGAAAACAAACGGTACAGCTTTGTATTAACATTGCCTTAATGTGTGTTATTGTGTGCAGCTGGGGATGTTTAGGGTCACGTTAATTATCGATTAAATAATTTACTGTTCTGTAGTTAAAGCAATTGTCAAATTTGAAACATCACTAGTCTTTCCTGTGACATGCATCCTTTATTTATATATATACACACACACACACACACACACATATATATATATATATATATATATATATATATATATATATATATATATATATATATATATATATATATATATATATATAAATGTAAAAAGGGCAGAGAGAAATAAACAGCGGCGAAGAAATAACTAAGGTAAAAAAATACAAAGGAATAATAAAACAGACAAAAATATTATAACATGCACATAAATAAATACTTAAAAATATAAGTAATTAAAAAATAAAGTTGAAGATTATAAAGGACAGAAAAATAAATAAGGTAAATATTACAAAGGCAAATAAATAAAGAAGCTAATTAAGAGTTATATACATTTATGTCTCACTTTTTTGTTGGCAATTAATTGTATGCTTATACATTTATTGAGCATTTATTTATTTCTGTATTTATTTTTAAATATGGCAGAGTTGGTCCTTCATAGGGTCTGTTCTATATGTTGTCTTCTCAATTCAGGGGGGCCCATGCCTGTCTTTGCCTAGGGCCCCAAATTTCCTAAATCCGCCCCTGTGTAGTGGAATTTGTCTAGCTTTGAAGTTCGTTTTTCTCATGATTCAACCTGTAACAACCTAAACCATTTGGCTTGGCATAAATACGGATTCAAGTAGCCTACTGTAGCCTACATATTTCTGAAAGACCCCCAACAACTCCAGAAAAAGTCGGAACAGTCGATTTAATTATAAATAAATAAATGCCAGTCGATTCCCCCTGCCTCCCGCCTTATGACATTGGCACCTCTCTTCACGCTATTCTCACTGACCGTCTCTACTCTTTTTTTCCACGGCGACAACCAAAAAAATGCAAGGTGATATGATACCGCAATGAACAGTTTACTTACAGTTGGTGCTTTTCGAAAAAAGGATGCAATTGTTTTCTGTTTTTTCGGTTTGGCTGGCCACATGTTGATGTCCGGACTCCGGAATTGGGAACTGTCCCGCCACTACTCTGTCTGAGTAACCATGGAAACCAGGCTCCAGACGTAAATGCCAGAGACAGGATAACTTTTAGATTAGAAACGACGCAGGCAGCCTGCAGTTAAACAGAACGATTGCCTGTCTATGATCTGACTGTTTTATGTTGTTGTTGCAAAGCAGTAAATTAGAAAAAGCTTTTTTGATTTTCTGTGAGTTTCGCCGTATGTTTTTTTTTTTTTTTTTTTTTTTAATAAAAGTGGGGGGGACGGATTGAGGGTCATTAGAATCTGTGTACGTCAGAACACCCCTGACGTACATGCTATCTGCGCCCTTGCTTTGTACCAAGGGCCGTGTGGCGGCAGGTTTTTTTCCAACCAAGCAATAGCATCAGACTCCAGTTGTCTCATCAAGTCATCACTTTCAGATTGGACTCATTTGATGAGATGACTGGAGTCTGGTGCTACTGCTTGGTTGGAAAAAAAAACCTGCCGCCACACGTCCCTTTCCAGAACCACTTGGACACCCCTGATTTATCCAGTAACCCAACAAAGCCTTGTTTTTGCTTACAAAACATACAAATAGAAACGGATGAACGGGTCCACCCTTTTGGAATGAGGATCTTTTGGCTTCTTTGTTAGCCTGCAATGCCCCATACCTGTCTATGTCTCTGAAAGGGGGGTCGTTAAAGGGAATTGTTGGCCTGGCTGAACAGGCGAGTGTCATGATGTGTTTTAGAGGTCTGACCCAAAATGCAGAGAACCACTCAGAGAGCAAGACAAAGGTTTAACAGGTTTATTGAGGTAAGGGTGGAAGGGTGGTAAGATCTGGAACTCAGGGAGCTGGTGTACAGGAACTAGGAAGTCTAGAGGGGATATCAAAAAGGGTTTGTTCAGGGACCGTGGGAATCTTGAATGCCGTAAGGAAAATGGTAGTGAGGGACTCCCTCTTCTCTCACTTTGCATCCAGTCTGTGTGGGTTGATCCAGAGAAGAGGGGACATGTTGAAGAGTGGACAACTTGACATTCTTTGGATCCGGAGGACAAAAGGAGCGGACTGTCACTTAGATTTCCAGGGGAACTTGAACGGTACATGTGGAGATTTATCCCCTGCTCAGTGTGAAGCTCAAACAATCCTTTCAGGGGAAGAAGGCTCAAACATCCAGTTTGCATCCCCTGCTAAATGTGAAGCTCAAACGATCCTTCCAGGGGAAGAAGGCTCAAACATCCAGTTTGCATCCCCTGCTAAATGTGAAGCTCAAACGATCCTTTCAGGGGAAGAAGGCTCAAACATCCAGTTTGCATCCCCTGCTAAATGTGAAGCTCAAACGATCCTTCCAGGGGAAGAAGGCTCAAACATCCAGTTTGCATCCCCTGCTAAATGTGAAGCTCAAACGATCCTTCCAGGGGGAGAAGGCCCAACTTCCAGTTTGCAGGGTGACTTCCTTCCGAGGGACAATGACAAAAAAACAAGGTTAAAGCTCAGAGAGACAAAGACTCAGTTAGACTCAGTGAAACAAAGACTCAGGTTAGACTCCGCTAATCTAAGCATGGCTAGAGTAGCCAAAACTGGCAAACACTCTGGCATCGAGGTAGTGACAGTCCACTGCTTAAGTACTCCACTAGATAATGATCCAAAGAGCCGCAGGTGTGCATGGAGGACCAAAAAGGACAGGGCGCCACGACACAAACTGGAATCCTGACAGCGAGGTCTTCTGTTCCCCTGTAAAGGGGTTGGGGCTGCGATGGTAGCGGGAAGGATTAAACTCTATCGCTGCATTACAGGTTTTTGAGGCTGAAATCTGAGTCCACCCCCTCTGTTTAAGGTTGTTTTTTCTTTCTTAACATAGATGGCTTCCTTCACGCCCCCTGTCAAACATTCTGGTCCTCAAAAGAATGTCCTATGTCCATAAGGTGTAGATAGCCAGCAGAGTCTTGTCCGTCCCTCTTCTGTGTTGGGCCATGCGTCTGTGGAGAGGTTGTTTGGTTTCTGGAGAAACTAAGGACATTGACCTGAATTTTCAACCGCTTACAATACCCGTTTATGAGCATGCTCCTACTTCTTCCGTGCTTTACACCTACGTTAGTTCCAGTGTGTTCTGCTTGCTAGTTTTAACGGGATATGCAATGATCCTAATCAGAGCTTTCTCTGATCGTGACTCCTACATCGTTTTGTTTCTACAGAGTAATGAGAGCAGCGGAGGAGACGACGTCCAGCAATGTTTTTCCATTTAAAATTGTCCACTTCAGTAAGAAGCACAGAACGTGGTACTTTTCTGCCGCCAGTGAGGACGAGCGAAGGGTGAGAACCGATCGCGGGTTCTTTACTGGCTCAAAATGTCTATACCTTCTGCAAGGAGAGTTTTTGGGAACATTTTTTGCTTGTGTTTTCCAGAAATGGATGCGATACCTGCGAAGGGAAATCGATCATTACAATGACAGAAAAGACGCCAATATCTCAAGGTAACCTCAGAAAAAGAAACCTTTCTCAAACTTAATGCTTATAAGTGTGACATGTGAGATGCTTTCCATACCTACGGCCACTAGACAAGCAGCCAACAACCTTTTACACCCACAATGACATTTTTAGATCTCTAAATAATCTATTCACGTTTTCTTGCACTGCTAAAAGAAACCAGAGTACCTAGAATAAACTCACCCAGCAAGCATTAAAGCTATAAATAAGTCAGACTAGATGTTTTATATATATGTTATATGTGAAGAAAGGGACCTAAATAACATTTAATTGTAAATTTATTACATTTGCTGCGCCTTAAGTCTGTTTTTATTTTTTTATGTTCCCCATTCTTTTTAGTAGTAATTCTAGGGTTAGCTTCTTGCTAACTGACAGGCATGAAACATTACAACAGTCATTTTGAATTATGTTTAATATTAGATTTAATTAACATTTAGGCATTGTAGCATTATTGTAATGATTATGGAAAGTAGCCTCTGACTTATCAATGGTAAATCCATTAGCAATAATAAGGATGGCATCTTGTTAACGCCATCTTAAGCAAGCGTACGTCTGTTGTGGAGCTTTCAGGCTCTAGATTTTTTTTTTCTTTAGCATAATTGATGTTGTTAATAATTAATTATGGTAAAAATGACAGAATCATTGTTAAAATACGTTTTCTTTTATTATACCCCCTTTCAGCTATTGGGGTCAGTGGCGGTTCTAGACCAAATGTACCAGGGGGCCAGGAGGGGGCCATTGCGCCCAAATATATTAAGAGAGCTGCATGATGGAAATTTCTTTTCAATTAGGTTAAATTAAAATTCTATGTCTCATTAGGTCAATATGCATTCAGAATTTAGGAATTTTACATATTTTTGACTTAATTTAAGTTAAAATGACCGTTTTCTATAAAATTTGAATTAGAACTCTAGAAAGACTGAAATTCAGCTGCAAAAAATTGAGGATTTTCTTGTTGTTTTGGAAAAAAAACATTGGGATCCCATCTCAAAACTGCTAAAGCGATCACCTTAGTGTTTTTAAATAATTATTGAAACAGAATTTGTAAAGAAAAAACATGAAATAGATCCAAAGGACCTATCAGTAACCATGTCTTTTCCAGCGTAGATCATCGTTACAATTTCTTTGAGTGTTATGTCTTCAGTACAGGAGCCATAACATTATCTACAGGGGCACTGGCCCCAGTTGGCCCCTGTCTTGATTGGGGTTGAGATTCTGGTTCATTCTAAAGCCTGGCATACACTTTGCGATATTTTCAATCGTTTCACGCAGCTACAGCTCAAACTGTTGGACGAAACGGCAGGGTTATCGCTCTGATGCGATCTAGCTGCTCACAATGTACGTCTAAAAACCAAACGTGGGACTCAGAGAGATGGCGCTGGTCGGACTCAACAATCTGGAAGAAGAAGAACTACCTTGTATTCACATACGCAGTGCTTGGCGTTCTGGTAAACGGGCTGTTAGCTCTGCTTCAACAGCAGGATTTGTCCACCTTACGACGGCCGACTGAATTTCAAATGTGTTTGATTTTCTCCCGACGTCACGATTCCTGATCGGGAGGCAGTGGTGAGAGCCTGATCGCTGAAACTCTGGCCGATCGAAATAATTCTCGCACGACTGGAAAACCGGCCCGATAAATGCAAAAAAAATCGTACGGTGTTACGATGTTCGGCTTAAACCAGTAAAGAAACAATGAAAAATCGAGTTCTTCATTTTTATAATGGCCTGATTCACTGCAGTGAATACAGAATAGAGTCCGTTTGTAAACTCGCATGTCGCAGAGCCATTGCCTTTCCTTTCCATAACTGCGCTCGTTCATGCTAGGTACCGTAGGGAAGGACGGCTTCTTTTTTTTTTTTTTTTTAAATAACATTTTTATTGAGTGCATTTCAAAGATCTTATACATTCAACACATCCATTTCCGACATAGACTTAACATAACCAAGTTAAATTCACAACCAGTCCATGGATGAATTAGATGACAATTATATTCTTGGTAATCTTACCATTTTATCCTAACACACGTGCCTTCATGTGAGAAGGAAAGAACACGTCCTTTCCTCCTTATTCATATCTACAAGTGTCCACTCCAATAGAAATACACTTTTTTTTTTTTTTTTAACAAAAAAGAAAAAAAAAAAAAAAACAAAGAACAACAAAAACAGATAAAAGAAACAAAAACTATACAACACTGTGTGGCAATAGGAGGTTCTCAGCCCTAATTTTAATCATACAACAAAGTCTGATCTCACTGGTGATATGAATTTCACCCAGTTTTCCCAATTTTTCTTGAACTTGCCAGATTCTAACCTCAAGGAAAAAGTTAGCCTTTCCATTATATAAATATCATGCATTACTTCAACCCAATCATTCCTTGTTGGAGCCTCTGTTTTCAGCCACTTCCTAGTTATAGCTTTCTTACTGGCTACCAACATGATCCTGAAGATATATTTGTCCTCTGAGGTTGTCAGCTTATCAATTCCTCTTCCCATGAATAAAGTGTCGAATGTTGGAGGAAGTTTCACTTTCAAGACTTTCTCCATACATTCCTTTAGGTCCTGCCAGTATATATCAATACTAGCACAACCCCAAAATACATGAAGGTGATTGGCTCTTTCTTCTCCACAGCCTCTCCAACATCTAGCATCTTGGTTTTTCTTTTGCGCTGGAGAAAAGAAATATCTCACAATGCACTTCCAGCCGAATTCTCTCCACGAGGGGGAACATGATGTTTTCCAGTTTTGCCTAAGTATCCCCTCCCATGTCTCCACCGTCCACCTCCCTCCCGTCTCTTTTTCCCATCGTTCTTTTATATATAACGTATTTCTTCCTTTCAGGTTCTCCACTCCTGAATATAATTTTGATATTACTTTTTTGCCCAAATTTGATTCATATGCTCTGATAAACATCTGAATTATCCCTGTTTCCAATTCTTCAAAGCTTATCTTTTTTTTAATTTCCTCAATAACATGCCTTACTTGCAAATACCTAAAGAGGTTTTTATTTTCAAGGCCAAATTTTCTCTTTATATCTTCGAAGCTTATTACTTTCCCTTTTTCAATCAGTTCCCAATATGATTTCGGACCCCTCGCCCACTCTCCAAATGTTTTGTCCATTGTGTTCGGTTTAAAATCTGAATCATGGGCTATCCATCTTAATAGACTAGTCTGCTCTGTCAAGCCGTGCTTTGATATCATTTCATGCCATGTACTAATTGACAGTTCTGTCCATGGATTAGGACGGCTTCTTTTAATGGAATTCTAGAAATGAGTTCTGTTTTTAATGAATGTTATTTCCCCTTGTTGATGCAGTGACTCGGACTCAGATGCAGACTTTTATGGCACTATAGAGAGACCCTTGGAAATCAAACACAGTGTTGAGGCTGCAGAAGGCGGTAAGGACTACGCTAAAACCTGCAGCAATACCGTCCCCTTGTACCCTCTTTGAAACTTAATCATTCACTCTTTTTCTGCACAGATTATGTTGTTGAAGACGATGATGAAGATGAGGAAGACTATGTGAAGCCTGACGACAATAACCCACCAACACCTCCAGGTAAAACAATATGTGCATTTAGCACCTTTAACCTTTAGTCCTTCAAGTCTCTTACTTTCAAAGTCTAAATGCGGAATATCTCCCACTTTGCAGGTCGACCCACTGGACCACCCCCTTCCTACCCTCCTCCACCAGTTCCAGCGCAGCATTCCAGTCCAAACGCCCAAAAAGTGTTGCTTCCACCTCTCCCTGTACAACACAGAGACCAAGGCAGCCCACTCCCCAAAAAGCCCTCCATTGCACACCAATGCCTCCAGAAAGAACCCAGCAAAGGCCCAGTCCCTCCTCTACCCTTTGCCCCTCACCTCCAGAAGGCCCCGTCTCCAACTCCCCCTACTCAGACCAGGACGACCTCCCTGGGAGGTACTGGACACGACAGGAGGGAGCACTCTGCTATGCAGATCAACCACCCAGCCACCCTGCCTATCTGTGAGCAGTTACACAAAAGGATGGTCCTGAACGGTCCAGTCCACAGCTCTCCGATCACTGCCAGCACCCAGTCACTGGGAAACCACTGTCTACGGAGCAAACCTAGCTTACCTTTTCCCCACACTGACGGCTTTTCTCTGTCGGTTTCTTCAAACCCCCCTTCGATTCCTTCCAAGCCTCCAGTATCTCCGCTTCTAAAGTCCGGACCTCCCAACAAGCTCACAGTACCTAAACCCCCTCCCACAACGGCCAAGCCGCCGCTGCCGTCAGACAAGTCAAAGACTCCTTTTCAGTAAGTCACACTCACATTCTGACAGCTCAGCCCTTCCTGCAAAAACAATTACCCAGAAATCCCAAATCCTTTGTCATCGCCCGCATTCCAGACCACCTGCGCAAAACAAAGCCTACAGTCTCTGCTGCTCCTCCCATCTTGCTCTGCTCCGAACTTCCTCATGCGCGATATTATTATATTCATAGGAGCAAAACAAGTGGAAATGGCTGCTTCAAGGAATAGTACACCCAAAACATGATTAGCCTTCATTTTCTACTCACCCCCATGCTGAACAACATTCTGGAGTACTTTTTTGATATCTCAAATGCATCTGGAGATCTGGGAGGCTTGTTGCTGTCTGCTGACATTCAAATAATGGAGGTCTATGGCGCCCGAGGCAGAAAGGTCCATAAAAGTCCACAAAAAACGTGTCAATATTCCTCCATACTGCTCGTCCAATGTATTCAGCTCGGCAAAGAACTCATGCTCTTCCTCAACACTGAAGTCCTCAGACATTTTTCTTTCGTTGTTTCTTTCTTTGCACAGGTAAACAGCACATTTCTTCTTCTACGCTTGCATTATCGGCAGAGCAGACGCTGAATGCGCACTTTCATCTGGTTTGGTCTGTCGGCTTCCGTACCGTCGTGAACTCGCTTTCAGGAAATCCTATACACTACTGTTTATGCTCTAAAAACATTCTAAATGACTTCGTTTCGAGTAAATTCTGGATGCTACCCACTCAGGACACTTGGAATACATTGGACGAGCAGTATGGAGGAATATTGACACGTTTTTTGTGGACTTTTATGGACCTTTCTGCCTCGGGCGCCATAGACCTCCATTATTTGAATGTCAGCAGACAGCAACAAGCCTCCCAGATCTCCAGATGCATTTGAGATATCAAAAAAGTACTCCAGAGTGTTGTTCAGCATGGGGGTGAGTAGAAAATGAAGGCTAATCATGTTTTGGGTGTACTATTCCTTTAATTTATTATGACATATTTTAAAAATCCCCAGCATATGTCAAGTTTCTGCCAAAATGTTTTCTTTTTGCTTTGGATTTTTGCAACAGGGATAATTAGGATCATAGGAAATTGGTTTGTATGAACTATGTTTGTTCTTTACTTCAAAACTCAGCATCTCTTCATCCATGCCTGTGATAAGAAGTTTATTTTGAAGTTGTAGAGATGAAAAATCTGCTTCCTGGCATGTTAAGTAATTTCCCTCTGGGATTGTTAAAGTATCTCTGATTCTGATTATGATTGAAGTACCGATAATTTGCATCCGATCATTTAATTAAACGGTCTTAGTTTTGGGGAATATAGAAGCTCCAATTTATCATTACTATATTTCATTTCCCGACGTTGTTTTTTCTGTTTGTTGCGATTGCAATTGCTGATCTTGGCCGGACCGGAGCAAAAAAAAGCTCTGCTCCGTATTTTTATGGTGAAGGACGGAGAAGACGTAGGTGGACGGTGCCATCAGAATGATTATAATATTAAATATGTCTCAGCCCCCCCCTTCAGTGTCCGCCATATTGGATCAGTCCATTTGCTGCACATGTTCAGAAAGGTCCAAACAGACAGCAGCAAACCATTTGAAAACAAACCATGCAAAGAGCAGTGTTGCCAACTTAGCGCTTTAGTCGCTATATTTAGCCACTTTTCAGACCCCTCTAGCACTTTGATTTCTAAAAAGCTCCTAGCGCCAAATCTAGAGACTTTTTTCTGCTACTGGAGACTTTGGAGACAACATCTAAAAGCAGCGAACTCTGCTCTCCAGAGCGAGTAGATTGGTAACCCCGCCTCCTGCTCTCCTCTATCTTGTCTGCTGTCATGATTCATGCAGCTATTATTTCATCCAAATGAAAAATGGAGAACAGATAAGCAGATCATGGCTTGTCTACAGTGAAAAGAAGGACTGGGTTATTTACTTTGGCCTTTTTGGAAACACAGGAAGGAGCAATCAGCTAAGTGAGCTTAGTGCTTGGAAAAAATCTTTCATTCCTTTAGAGACAGCATGAAAAGTCAGCTGAGTACAAAACATAGAGAGGAAAACAAGAAGAAAAGGGACAAGAAGAGAGGGACACAACCTAGAACAGATAATGGATGTCTATTCTATTAACATTTCTCTGTCTGTAGAATGGGGCTGTTTTATTTCCTAAATCCGCGCCTGTCTCTAACAAATGTTTTCTTGCCAGAAGGGCATCTCCAGAGGGGCAGAGCTTCCGTTCGCTGGGAGAAGAAGTCCCCGCTGATTACAGGAAGAAAACGAAGTCATCCAAACATGGACACGACTCTGATGACGACTATGAGAACGTAAGAGAGCCTGAAAATTAAAGCATAACACAGGTCCTATCCTGGCTGAGCTCCTTCATCACAGAACATACACCTCTTGGTTTTGTGCTCGTTTGTTTTATTTTTTATTTCTGTTCTGCCTGCTGAAGCTGAAGCCTTGTTTCTTTTTGCAGGTGCAGCTGCCAGAATCTGTTTTCATCGATACAACGGAAACCATGTTTGTGGAAAAGTATGTCTCTCTTTTAAGACATCAGAGAACTAACTCCTGCTTTTCTAGGCCAACACTGCCCCCTAGTGGCATAAAAATCTAACATTTCTTGTCTTATTTCTGCCATTTTTTTAAACTCAGTCTTTGAACACTTTGGTTTTTACTCTTAATGATCTTTCTGAAGCTTTTATCTATGCAGCATTTAGTCTTTAAAGGTTTCTTCTAATAAAACAAATCTTCTGTTGATGTTTACGTCTTTAGGCTTTTCAAAGAATGCTGCGCTAATCCGCCGGACGGACTTTATTGCATCAGAAAATCTGGAACAAAAACTGCAAAGGTAAAAACTGAATAGAAAAATGTTTTTAAATTATATTTATTTCATGTATTTGAACCCTTTATTAACTATAATAGTGAGGAATTGTTATTTTGTAGGAACTTCTATTGTGTACACTAATGGCTGCCAGAGCCGCCATAGAGGACCAAAACATTATTAAATCTGTGGATAATGGTGTTGCTTCGTAGCAGAGATTTCGGTTGCCAAAGACTTTAAAATTGTGTGAGGATTTAGTTAAATATTAATGTGAATTAAATCCCCACACTGATCATCCAGTAGTGATCCCTGACCAGAGGACCAATTTACATCCAAATTTTAATGTTTTCAAAGTTACAATTTGCTTGTAGTGACAGTGGAGAGGAAAAACTCCCTTTGAACAGGAAGAAACCTCCAGCAGAACCAGGCTCAGTGTGAGCGGCCATCTGCTGAGGCCCACTGGGGTTCAAGGAGACAGAAGCAGACATAGAAAAAGAAGCATAGATACAAAAGGCAACTGTCAACCAGCTCCACAGGCGGCCCCGTCCAGGAAACACACAGCCAGGCAGACGAGCTCCGAGCCAGCTCCCATGTCAGAGGATGAAGAGAGCACATCCAGTTAGTCACAGTCAGAGAAACAGGACTACACTGGAAAACAGGCCAAGCTCCAACATCTAGAAACAAAGGTGTTGATGGCAGCAGCACAGCTGATATTTCTCTCCAGGATGGAGTCACAGCCAAACAGGAACAGACCAGATGAAGCTACTATGAGAAAAAGCAGAGAGAGCAGAACGTTAGAGATTGAACTAACAGATTCTGCAGATTGGGAGAATAGAGATAGAATGAAGCAGAATGGTGAAAAAGGGGTCCCTATGTCCTCCAGCAGTCTAAGCCTATAGCAGCAGAACTATAGAGATAGATCAGGATAACCTGAGCCACTCTAACTAGAAGCTTTATCAAAAAGGAAAGTTTTAAGCCTAGCCTTAAAAGTAGACAGGGTGTCTGCCTCACGGACTAAAACTGGTAGTTGGTTCCACAGGAGAGGAGCCTGATAACTAAAAGATCTGCCTCCCATTCTACTTTTAGAAATTCTAAGAATTTGTTAGTGAATAAAATCTTGTTTTATTGGGAATATATCATAAAGAAACAGCGTGACGAATTCTGTCCATTTGACCGTTTGGTTCCCTGAATATTGACACAAATCCAAGCTTGGATGTGAAACTATGTTGTAGAAATATAGATTATTTCATAAATCTCTATGTTAGGGATCCAAACTCAGGAGGTTAGGGTAAGAGTTCTTTATGCCATATATGTGGTATGAATGAATGAATGAATGAATGAATGGGAATTTATTTCAGACAATTTTTACAAACAAAAGTAAATGAATCAACCAAATACACACTAAAGAGACTAGTTAAAATCAAACCAAACTCCAATTTTCCAAACTAACTAAACTCACCTGAACATAAATAGAAACAACCGTTCAACAAATAAAGCTGTCAGTATAAACAGCCTGAGAAATAAAGTTGATTATTGGAAATTGTCTGAAAAGGGCTATGAAGAAGTAAAACCTATTTTCCATACCCCCCTCTCCCTCTAATTACAATTAAATTAAATTAAAGATAGTCTCATGTTTAATATCTTTTTATTATAATAATAATACATTTTATTTAAAGCTGCTTTTGAGAAACCCAAATACACTGTACACAACAAAAAAAGCAGGTATAAATGTTTAAAAGGAGCAAATATAGCAGTGAAACAGAGTTTTAAGGAAATAACCCAACATTTTATTCCTAACTTCTATGAAAAGATCAAAGTTTGCTTGAAATATCAAAAAGTGACACCAGTCGGCTCGACATGAAATAGATCTGATGTGTTTTTCAGGTGTTGGTGGTTTGGGACGTCGGTATAAATAAGGCCAGAAACTACAGACTGTTTGAAGAGGTAAGCCGACCCACCGGCGCCCCCTGCTGTATTAGAAACAGGGTGTTTTTATTAAAATGCTTGTTCTGTTGCTGGCTGACAGGAGGAAGGCGTATTCCTGGAGAGTGACCTGACCTTCCCAAACCTGGCGGCCTTGGTTGAACACTACTACAACCATCCTCTTCCTCACCACGGCTCGCTGTGCCTGCAGAAGCCTTACGCCAAGATCCTGAGCAGCTGAAACCAAAGCTGGCAGCCGGACACGCGCCTTTAAACCCATTTAAAACAAACTGTCTCAGCAGAGCACACAGTCATCCTGGAAAACAGGTAAAAAAACAGATAGAAATCAGAAGTTTGGGACCAGTTTGACTCTGATGAAGCATTTTGTCCACAAGGTGGCGCCAAATACCAGCTGGAATCACCCCAGACTCCCACTTTCTGCATTTCAGCAAATTATATCAATATAGCGAACATTTTAACTATATTTATTTTATTTTTATTTTTTTTTTTTTACAGTTTTGTAGCTGGTTTCAAAAAATAGGCCTCATAAGCAAAAAACAAACTTCACTTCAAAAGCCTGACGAGCATAAATCTGGCTGCGCTCCTTAATGACTTCAGTTTGGCCTGTTAACGAGTTAAAGGCCAAACTGCAGACCTTCATAAACTTCTTGGTTTTTGGACAGAAAACCTTAAAAGTGCTGCAAAGCGTTGCTCGGACCAATCAGGGACTGACTGAACCTTGGATGTCTATTTTTTGTGTTTTCTGTGTACATTAAAATGTCAATTTAGAATTTTTTTACATTCCGAAGTTTTATACTTGTCCATATTTATATGTAAATATGTAAAGACATGACTGTAAATATGTAAAAAAAAAAAAAAAAAGAAAATTTTTTTACAGAAATATGCTGATAATGTAAACACAGTTGTATAAAAATTATTTTCAAAAAAAAATCTTATTTTTGTCATTTTTTCTGTAAATATTAAAACTTCTGCATCTGGGTGTGTTCATAGTGAGTCGGTAAAACGTCTAATTTTAGACGAGATTATTTCTATGTCTCCATTTAGTGTGAGCTTTTAATTTACCACAGGAATAGTTTTATACACGCAAGAAAAGATTGAACATTAATACTAAGACTGCTCCATATCATGAGAGTGCTGCCACCATGCCTCACACTAGGAACGGTAACATGATGATCAGTGTCTACCAAAGAAAAGCCTCCCACAGCATGACTCTGCCACCTCCTTGTCCCCCCATGGGGGCGCTCTTCAGATAAAGAGATTTGATTTGTCGATGCAAATTTATTATGAGGAAAAAACTTGTGAAAATCATGTTTAAAAAGGTAAAATTAGCTTCCTTTAAAAGATGTAGGCAGAGAGGAAAACTCAAAATTAAATTTAGGAAGTCTCATTAGTTCAAAAGAATGAAAGTGGATTTAGGAAAAGTCCAATTTATTAAAATGCACACCAGGGAATTTCCTACTTATTGCTCCTTTAAATAATTTTCCACATTGGAAAAGTGATCTAGAAATAAGCAAAGATTTCTTAAATTGAGTGTATTTAACCTTATTTTGAGAAGGTAAATGAGATAGTTTGCCAATTGGATGAGTATTTTCACCCTTAGTATAAGATAATTAGATAATATGCACTTGAAATAAACCAATATAATTGTTTTTTCTTACTTTAGATGTAAATTGTCTCATTCGATCTGCAAAATGTCTCACTTTCCTCCTCAATTAAAGAAAAAATTAAATTATTTTAAGAAAAAATTACTTCTGCAGATTAAAAATGCTTGCAGTGCAGGTTAATATTCTAACCTGACTCTGCCAGATGGATTTGCTCCGCATATCCATCTGGCAACCTTCCGTTGAAGTAATTTTGGGAAGGGGCGAAAATACTGGTTAGCTGATTGGCCTATGTTGGTGATAGACGGGCCAAATAAACCAATCAGATCAATGAAGCATATGACGTACTAACAGAGCGACGACGAAGAGGAGCCAATTGATAGATCAAACTCTTGCTGAAACCAGTCGGGAGAAGAGCAAAAACATCTTTTCCTCTGAGAAAAGCCTCCAGAGCAGTGTTTTGCTCTTCTTCCAGTGAAGAAATACTCTGTAATTCCCATAAAACTTGCTCGATAGCCACGCTAACGCTAGTTTCATCGGCCGAAGCCGCCATGTTCTTTAGACTGAACTGTCGCGCTTCTCATTGCGTCACACCTCAACCCGCCTCAAAGCCAACGCTGATTGGACGTTCGTTTGGTGAACGGCTCCAAATTTTCTTCAACGGAGAGTCTCCAGACTGATCTGCGAGTGAAACCTTGAAAGCTCGCGAGATCAGGATGGTCTCACGATGCTATTAATATTCATCACTCGGTGGAAACTAGTGATGGTCCAGGAACCTCTTTGCATCGGTGCATGCTTCAGGCCGTAGAGCTAAACACTGTATCAGTGCTCGTGTCAATTCAAGGAAGTAATGTGACCGATATAGGAGTTGTTTCTGACTGATTCAATCACTAAACTCTGTTTAAAAACATAACTGTCAACATGAAGCATCTGCTTAAACTATCTCATCTTTTTTTTTATCAGAAAAAAAGATGAGAAATCAAGAATGTTGCAGCCTTAAAGGAATAGGAACGTTTAAGTCGTTGTGTTTTTATTTTAATTCTCTGGTTGTGTCTTCCTTTTCCTCTCAGTTATCATTCAGCTTACCTGAATTAAAGTTAATTTCAAATTGACTCTTAGTTTATTTACTGTTTTTACCGAACTTATTGTTTTAAAATTATGACTTTAAATCCTGGATTACAAGCATCCTCATTCACATTTTACATTAAATGTTCGCCTTATGATATATGTTTACATTGTTTATTGGCTCCAATATCAAACATATTTTCAATTTAAACATAGACATGAAATAATACAATATAAACAACAATAATTTCAATGACATCATTGTTCTAGTCATCAAATCAATTCAGTGTAGTCTGTCCAATCAGCTGCCTGTGGTGTCTTTAAATGTCCAGCAGGTGTCAGTATTCTGTGAGACAGTATCGATACAGTCAACATGCCTCATTAACTATTGCAAAAACTCTCCTCTGTAAATTCAGAGGGTTAATCCGTCTCTGAATGGGACATGTGACCCAGAGCGCCGCTTTTCATCAGTCTGAGCTCCGCTGAAACAAAGGTGTCGAAAGTATTCATGTTTATTCCTCCTGTATAAATCCTCCAGTTTAAAAACACTTTTGTAGAAGTTAGAGGATCAATTTCACTTTTTTCCTCTAGTAAAAGTGTAAAGGTACTGCAGGAAAAAATGTAAAGGAGAGAGGCTTGACTGCACTACCTTGTCAAATGACGTCATCAACACCTTTGTTTCTAGATTTTGGAGCTTGGCCTGTTTTCCAGTGTAGTCCTGTTTCTCTGACTGTGACTAACTGGATGTGCTCTCTTCATCCTCTGACATGGGAGCTGGCTCGGAGCTCGTCTGCCTGGCTGTGTGTTTCCTGGACGGGGCCGCCTGTGGAGCTGGTTGACAGTTGCCTTTTGTATCTATGCTTCTTTTTCTATGTCTGCTTCTGTCTCCTTGAACCCCAGTGGGCCTCAGCAGATGGCCGCTCACACTGAGCCTGGTTCTGCTGGAGGTTTCTTCCTGTTCAAAGGGAGTTTTTCCTCTCCACTGTCGCTACAAGCATGCTTAGTGTGAGGGATTGCTGAAGAGTCAATGAGTCGATGCAATCAGCTGGTTTTCCTTAGATAGAAAACTTTGAATCAATCTGACTGGATGATCTGGAGAACTGGAAAGTGACCTGAGATGAAATGTTGTGGACTGGCGCTATAGAAACAAACTAAACTGAAGTCAATTAAAGGAATATTTTTCTAAAATTCTGGATGATAACTTCCTTAGACTTAGACTTAGTTTTATAACTAATGGTAACAGAGTCAAATTTAACTTTGCATCATCTTGAGAATTGGTTTATTTTAGCATGTGGTGAACAACAAGAGTCCAACCACAAACAAATTAATTATCTGGATGAAACTAATTATTTTGATGGTTTATATTTTTTAAATACCAACAGGCCATAATGAAAATGAGGTGAAATGATTCAAATAATTAAGTCAAATAATTACTCCAGTTAAGTATAGATAGCCAACATTTCTACTTAAGTAGGGTGACGAAGTATTTGTACTTTGTCAGTTGACCCCTCTGCCCTTAAACACCAGAGCTAGCTAAGCTAACAGCTGCTAGCTCTGACCCTCAGCTGATCAGACATGTTTCTGGTTCTCTGATGGAGGATTGAATCCAGAGGGGGAAGGTTTCCTGTCTTTACCAGGAACTCCAGGACTTCTAGATCTGTTTCAGGTCTAGCGCCCCTAGTGGCTAAAAGGTACACAAAAGTTGTTGCTTTAAAGGAAATGTCCGGTCAGCGAAGAATAATCAATGGATCATTATTTTTACCTAAAACTAATATGTTTGCAGTGATTTAATGAATTTAATCAGTAAAAACAATATTTTTTAAATTTTGGTCATGATCACTGAGTCTGGGAGCGGCCATTTTTGCCCAAATATAGTAACCCCTCCCTCCTGCCATCTTCCAGCAGTGACGTCACGGTGCGGTTAGCCTAGCGCCATTCTCCCCGCTTTACAAGCTAAATCAATGGGAACTACTAGACACATCTGCAATCAACAACAATTATTGAAGATTTCCAGAGGACTTCACCATTGAAATTCACCAGAGCTATAGTGAAACTGACAATGCCCACGTGCATGGCAGCTGGATGCTGGAATACATCGGGTAAAAGTGAAAAAAAGAGTTATTCCACCTTTCTGATTCCTGATCCTCCACGGACGGGTTGGTCGTTGGATCGCCAACTTGAAGAGGGAGGATTTGCCATCGAACTTCTGGCCAGAGAAAAAACCCGTAATATGTAGCCAACATTTGGAAGAAGAATGTTTTCAAGATGACTTGGATAATAGCGCGTTGTGACAAACACCAGATACAGCACTGGGACTTGATCAACAGCCGATACCGCACCGTGACAATGTCACTAACCAGTAGGTGGCAGTAGTGTTCTTTGACAAACATGGATGCCTCCAGTAAAGCACATTCACATGAAAATTACTCTGAATTAAAACACTGATCATTTATTGAACAGGATGGAATCATTTCAGATTTAAAGAACTTTCAGAAGTTTGAATTCTGAATATGAGCGGATTTTCCTTTAAAGGATGATTTAGTGACTGTTCTCTGATTGAATCCTGTTAAACAGCGCCCCCTAAAGCCTCAGACTGGAATAACCTGCTAACGCATTATATAGGCAATCATTGTTTTCTCCAGATGTTTCTCACGTGCTGCTGGTTTAACCTTTAAACTAAACTATTGTGTAAAAATGATCTTGGGCTTAATTCAAACAGGATTTTTTTAATTATTATTTAAGTTGTAATAACCCTGAGACACATTTTTGAATATGCATCTTTTTTTAAGCTCTACAGTGGTTTCACTGGAAGTGATTTTCTCTCATTTTTCAGAGTCTGAATCAGACTGTGGCTCTTTCTCTCTGCTGCTGTCTGACTCCATTTCCCTCCAGTTTGATCAGCAGGCCGGCGGTGTTTCCAGGGGGCTGAGAGCTGCCAGCTCCAACAACACTCTCCCACTTCTTATCAGAGGATTAAACCTCATCTTCACTGAAGGTTGACGGCTGCTGATACACCCCAAGGCTCGCTCTGTCCCAGATTCCCTTTTTTACATCCCTTAAAAACACACAGACCCGGCAAACTGCTTAATAATGTTGTTTAAGGAAGCAACAGGATTTGTCCTCTTTCTACATTTTACTTCCTCTCTATGAATCTGCAGTTGAGGTGAAACCAATATTTGATGTAAGTACAGGGGGCGGGGTTTATCATTCAGTGATGCTAGGCAGTTGCCTAGGGCCCCAAGTTCCTGGGGGCCCCATAAAACTCTGTTTACATGTATGGTTAACACAACTATTCCTTAATTGTGCACATTAATTATGTTTTTAATTAAAATCTTTTGGCGTTATTAAGTGTGTCTCAGCCCCCCCCTTCAGTGTCCACCATATTGGATCAGTCCATTTGCTGCACATGTTCAGAAAGGTCCAAACAGACAGCAGCAAACTATTTGAAAACAAACCATGCAAAGAGCAGTGTTGCCAACTTAGCGCTTTAGTCGCTATATTTAGCCACTTTTCAGACCCCTCTAGCACTTTGATTTCTAAAAAGCTCCTAGCGCCAAATCTAGAGACTTTTTTCTGCTACTGGAGACTTTGGAGACAACATCTAAAAGCAGCGAACTCTGCTCTCCAGAGCGAGTAGATTGGTAACCCCGCCTCCTGCTCTCCTCTATCTTGTCTGCTGTCATGATTCATGCAGCTATTATTTCATCCAAATGAAAAATGGAGAACAGATAAGCAGATCATGGCTTGTCTACAGTGAAAAGAAGGACTGGGTTATTTACTTTGGCCTTTTTGGAAACACAGGAAGGAGCAATCAGCTAAGTGAGCTTAGTGCTTGGAAAAAATCTTTCATTCCTTTAGAGACAGCATGAAAAGTCAGCTGAGCAGGGGCGGATTTAGATGGGGGGCCCATTGCCACCCTTAGCCAATCATTGGCCACCCCTACCATTTTCCCCCTCTAATACAGATGGCGGCAGCAGTAATACTCTCAAGTGGAATGTTCAAAACATTAAAATTTTTCTTATATTACAGTTACTTAACAAAAACATATAATGATGCACATCAATTAACCTACATTTAAGACGATAAGTACAGAATTCATGCTCTTTTCAGAACTAAATTTTGTGTTTTATGGGGTAAAGAGAATATGATGCGTCTCTGCAAGTCATCACGGAGTCTTCAGGGAAACCATAGATAAATAAAAATTTCAAGAAAAACATATTAAATAATAAATTTATGTAGATATTAGTACTTGTAAATATCAATTTTATGCAGAATGAGTATTAAAAGTAGGTAAGTAATGAACTCAAACCTGAAAGAATTTTATCTACTATACCTTTTATCCAGATAGATGTTTAAATATATGCATTTATTTGTTAGCAAAGGCTGTACGAACGTATAGTTTGTCTTTATTTAGAAAATATGGATGTTGTGCTAATTCATTTTCTTGTTGGAACAGCGTTGATTGACCCTGAGGTTCTGGTGCCGATCCATTTCTAGCCACCCATCAGTGTACATTGGTCACTGCAGCTTAGTACAAAAAATAGAGAGGAAAACAACAAGAAAAGGGACAAGAAGAGAGGGACAAAACCTAGAACAGATAATGTATGTCTATTCTATAAAAATTTCTACTGAAGAGGATTAGGGCCACTGAAAAAAAAAAAAAAAGTTACCGGTAACTGATTTTTTTTATTTTATTTCAGTATAGTATGGGGAAAAAGTCAGAATTCTGACTTTTTTCTCAGAATTCTGACTTTTTTCTCAGAATTCTGACTTTAATCTCAGAATTCTGACTTTTTTCTCAGAATTCTGACTAGGGTGGCCATTTCTATAGCACCAAAAAGGAGGACATTGTGCGGTATATCAATAAATTACTAAGGTGTACATAAGAATCGGGTAAAGTCACATTTATAGCACAATTCTTAGTAGTTTAAAGAGGATGCTTGTGTAGCTGAATAGAACAAAATAGCCTATTAAAGAAATGTAAAAAAGAATTGGTTCCCAGCATTTGTATTTATTTAATACATTGTGGTGTTTAAAAAGTGACCATTTTTAACACAATTAATTTGCGCAGAACTGCTGCAATTGATCATAAAGCAGACGATGCAAACTGCAAAAAGTGGCTGGAAAAGAGGAATTCATGACATGGCTGCAGCCTGTCGAGAGTAAAGATGATTTCACCATGTTCTCTATCTATCCATATATATATATATATATATATATATATATATATATATATATATATATATATATATATATATATATATAAACTTGAGTCATGGAACTGTGCTTACAGCTCCTTATTTCATGTAAACTAATAACTTGTGTACATGATACTTGTTGATGGTATTAAAATTATTTCTAATAGCATTAAAAGAGCATTAAATTAGAGTTCCTCATTCCTGTATAAAACCTGTGAACGCTTAATTTAATCTGACATATAAAAAAAATCCCCATCATCATCCAGCAGATGTTCAGTTTCTGCTCAAATATTTTCTTTCTGTTGTGGATTTTTGTAACAGGGATAACTAGGATCATACATAGTTTGTATGAACTCTGTTTATTCTCTGCTTCCAAACTCATCATCTCTTCATCCATTCCTGCAATAAGAATTTTCTTTTAAAGTTGTGAGATTCACTCTAGAATCTCACAACTTCTTCCTGGTCTGTTGAAGCACCAATAGTCTGCATCCAATTATTTAATTAATTGCTCTTAGTTTTTGGGAATATATACAAACTATGCTCTAATTTCTAGATACCGATCTGTTTTTACTATAATTTAATTTGACAAACCGGGTCTTCTCTACATTCTTTTTTCTGTTTGGTGCGATTGCAATAGCGGGTCTTGATCTGGACGGACCGGAGGGGAGCAAAAAATAGCTCAGCTCCGTATTTTGACGGTGAGGGACGGAGAAGACGTACGTGGGCGGTGACGAGCGGAGGATGTGGAACAGCTCTCATTGATTTACATGACAGACAAGTACTCTGCACGACGTACGTGAGCGGGGCGGAGCGCTGACGGAGTATGTGGAATCTGGGGGTAAAGAAGGACAAATACACGTCCGGCTGGGTGCAGCGCCGGACGCCGGACAGTGCAATGAAAATCCGGACTGTCCGCCCTAAAGCCGGACATCTGGCCACCGTAATTCTGACTTTAATCTCAGAATTGTGAATTTTTTCTCAGAATTCTGACTTTTTTCTCAGAATTCAGAATTCTGAGAAAAAAGTCAGAATTCTGAGATTAAAGTCAGAATTCAGAAAAAGAAGTCAGAATTCTGAGAAAAAAGTCAGAATTCTGAGAAAAAATTCACAATTCTGAGATTAAAGTCTGAATTCTGAGAAAAAAGTCTGAATTCTGAGAAAAAAGTCAGAATTCTGAGTTTAAAGTCAGAATTCTGAGAAAAAATTCACAATTCTGAGATTAAAGTCTGAATTCTGAGAAAAAAGTCAGAATACTGAGTTTAAAGTCAGAATTCTGAGAAAAAAGTCAGAATTCTGAGAAAAAATTCACAATTCTGAGATTAAAGTCAGAATTCTGACTTTAAACTCAGAATTCTGACTTTAATCTCAGAATTGTGAATTTTTTCTCAGAATTCTGACTTTAAACTCAGAATTCTGACTTTAAACTCAGAATTCTGACTTTTTTCCAATGTTAAACTGAAATAAAATTTAAAAATCAGTTTACCTTTTTTTTTTTTTTTTCTTCAGTGGCCCTAATCCTCTTCCGTACATTTCTCTATCTGTAGAATGGGGCTGTTTTATGTGTGAAGAGGGCCCCCTGCCTGTCTTTGCCAAGGGCCCCAGATTTCCTAAATCCGCCCTTGTATTAAATGCCTCTTGCTGTATTAATTGATAAATTTCCGGGGACAGTGAAGCATCTGCAGGAGACCCCCACCCGGCTCTGTGCAGCACTGATACCCAGCCGGTACCGCTCCGCCCCCCACCCCCCTCTATCAGCCGGTAGAAAATGGATTTCAAACGCGCTGGCCGGAACGGGAACCCGCGCGGACCGTGATTGCAGGAACGCTATAAAAGGGGCGCGCGGGAGCTGCGTCTCTTTATTTTCCTCCTTCCAGCAGTCCGGCCGCGGCGCGTGCCACCTCCGGCTCTATAAAAGCTGAACCGCTCCGTTCCTGTGTGTGCACGCGCCTGTGTGGATGTGTGAGTTCAGTTAGCGAGTGGACCGACCGACTGGCAGAACCGCGAAACCAGGCCAGCGCGAGCTCAGGGTAGGGAAGGCTCAGCTAGCAGCAGCAGCCGAACGGTGACTCCTCCGAACCAGAGATGGTCACGTCCGCAGTGGGGGTTGTCCTGCTGCTAACATGGCTCCAGCACTGCGGTAACGTCCGAGGTAAGTGACCGTAGTGACCGCCCTCGCTGTCGGTGTTGGAGCTCCGGGTTCGCTGCGGTTAGCTAACATTGAGCCCAGCTGTCCACCTGTCTCGCGGCTGAACCTTCATTGACTCGTTAGCAGAATAATTAGCTATCAACCCCCTCAGACCGCAGCGTTATCAGGCACCCAGGCGGTATTTGTGTACATTTAATACATTCCTTTTAATTTACTTTAATATTCTTAATCTAATCTTTAAACAGCTTCTCTCCGTGACTCATTTAGCTCCAGTTTTAGTCCATTTAAATATTTAAACCTCTTTTTCTGGTCTGTTTTTGCCTCAGTGATCTTGTGATTCTCCCCCTTCAGTGACGTTTTTAATTTATTTATTTATTCTTTAAGGGAAAACAATGCAAATAGGGGAAGGGAGCAAACTGCGGATTAATATCCTGGAAATGCGGATTAAAGGCAGCAGATCGGGGGGTCTGATGGGGGGATGATGGAGGCCAATCAGCGGCCACAGGGAGCCAATGAGGGGCTAATTAGCCGCTAAGTGGCCAAATTCAGCTCCTTAGAATCTAGATAAAAGGTTTTATTTTCTTTCAGGCCAGAATCCTCAGAGTTGGAGTCTGTTTTTATGCAGAAGATGATAAAAATTAACTTGTTGTAAACTTTACTAGTCTGTCAGTCATTAGCCACAGTCCAAGATTAGCACAAGTGGACTACTAATTTATTGGATTTAATTTAAGCCCGCGTTTATTTGCTTTATATGGCAAAATGGTTGAATTTTTTTTATACATATCCCATTATAGTTTTTTTTTTTTTTTATAAGGTTATATTTCCTCTAATTGTAAACTGTCATATTTTTAATCTTAAACTTTAAATATGCACAGTTGGCCATTTATAATTTTAAAAAATTTGTTTTATTTTTATTTTTTTATGCTTTTATATTCTTATGTAGTTTTTCCCAATGGGAAGATTGTAGTTTTTTTAGGGCGTTTATTTATTTTAAGGGAGTGGCAGTGATCTGTTGGACCAGCATACCTATAGTCTTTATCCCTTTAGTTTTGTATGAAAAATACACTTTAAAGGAATAGTACACCCAAAACATGATTAGCCTTCATTTTCTACTCACCCCCATGCTGAACAACACTCTGGAGTACTTTTTTGATATCTCAAATGCATCTGGAGATCTGGGAGGCTTCTTGCTGTCTGCTGACATTCAAATAATGGAGGTCTATGGCGCCCGAGGCAGAAAGGTCCATAAAAGTCCACAAAAAACGTGTCAATATTCCTCCATACTGCTCGTCCAATGTATTCCAAGTGTCCTGAGTGGGTAGCGTCCAGAATTTACTCGAAACGAAGTCATTTAGAATGTTTTTAGAGCATAAACAGTAGTGTATAGGATTTCCTAAAAGCGCGTTCACGAGTCTACGGAAACCGCGGCAGACCAAACCAGATGAAAGTGCGCATTCAGCGTCTGCTCTGCCGATAATGCAAGCGCAGAAGAAGAAATGTGCTGTTTACCTGTGCAAAGAAAGAAACAACGAAAGAAGAATGTCTGAGAACTTCAGTGTTGAGGAAGAGCATGAGTTCTTTGCCGAGCTGAATGCGCACTTTCATCTGGTTTGGTCTGCCGCGGTTTCCGTAGACTCGTGAACGGGCTTTTAGGAAATCCTATAAACTACTGTTTATGCTCTAAAAACATTCTAAATGACTTCGTTTCGAGTAAATTCTGGATGCTACCCACTCAGGACACTTGGAATACATTGGACGAGCAGTATGGAGGAATATTGACACGTTTTTTGTGGACTTTTATGGACCTTTCTGCCTCGGGCGCCATAGACCTCCATTATTTGAATGTCAGCAGACAGCAAGAAGCCTCCCAGATCTCCAGATGCATTTGAGATATCAAAAAAGTACTCCAGAGTGTTGTTCAGCATGGGGGTGAGTAGAACATGAAGGCTAATCATGTTTTGGGTGTACTATTCCTTTAAAGTACCTCAATGGGCGTAGAGGTAGTTTAAAGTACCATGTACAAAAAACTATTTAAGGTTGTACGGAAGTCGTATTCAGATGGCAAATCATTCTGACTTAAACATGAATATAAATGTACTCTTAATCAGACGGTATTGTCCCAAAATTTAGAAAATTTCTATAAAAAAAAAAAAAAAAATATCCAGTCTTAAAATCTTTTTTCCGTCATCTTCTGCAGGCCAGTTAGTTCTACGTCAGCCTGAACACCTAAATTCGGCCAATCATATATCAACGGTCTTCTGTCAATCAAATGTTTTCGGTCATAGCATCTTGATTCATGTGTCGCAGCTAATATACGCAACGGTTGAAACCAGAATCGTTTCCTTTCCCATTGAGTTGCGTCCCAGTGTTCACGGGGATGGACGTCTGTGTCTTCGGCAGGCGTAGAGCTAACAGAACTGGCAGCGTTGCGAGGCAAGGGCTCAAACATGTACGGCTGGAAGCCTTCTACACCAAACCAAGCTTCTGCCGCCCTGGCGTCCTCTTCCACAACATCTTCGTCCCCGCTTTCCTCCTCTAAATAAAAAATGGATGACGGAGGAGACTCATCCACGACCTCGGACACTAAACTCTCCTCCTCTTGCATGTTTCCGCTGTCCATAGCGTTCCTTGACAGTGTCGTTTCTAAGTCACCAATTTAGTGCTACTTGGTCCCAATGGAATTTCCCATTGGGAACCTGCTAGCACACTAAGATGCTAACTGGTTAGCAAGATGCTTCCGACAAACCGGCCACAACCAAACATGCTTGCAAACCTTTTGCCACAACAATCCCGCCCCCTAGATAATCGACCAATTACATTCACTTTAACTCTTGTAAAGTCGGGAGAATTCAGAAATGCAACATTCTGAACAGCCGCTTCCCTACGACTTTTTTTTATATTTCTAGTTTTTACCAATGGGAGGATTTTAGTTGTATTAGGGTGTTTATTTCTTTTAAGGTGGTGGTGCTCTGTCAGACCAGCATACCTTTAGTCGATACCAGTTTATCACTTTAGTTTTGTATGAAAAATACACTTTAAACTACCCCAATGGGCGCTGATGTAGTTTAAAGTGTCATGTAGAAAAAACTATAAGGTCAGACTTCCATGCGCTTCAAATAACAATTAATGAAATAGTTTTTTTGTACATGACTAAAGGGATACCAGCCCGTTCAGATAGTTCAAAGTGTATTTTTCATAGAAAATTTAAGGGATAAAGGGGGCAAACTATCGACTATGGGTATGCTGATCTGACAGAATATTGGCCTGGTGGTTGGGGCATAGAGGTTAGATTCCTGAGGTTCTGAATTCCAGCCCCAATCCCACAGACTGCCATTTTGGGTCCCTGAGTAGACCCTTGACCCCCACACCGTCGCTGGGCGCCTTGTAGTTTTTTGTGTTTTTTTTTTTGTTCCAGGTAATGCAATGATGTTTGTTTCCTTGTTGGTTTGCACACATCCCTCGGATCCCCTCCCACAGAATCGGCTTTAGTGCCTCTAAAGAGCCTCTTTTTCCAAAACTAGCTCCTAACACTCGCTGTTTGAGATTCCGTGGGACTATTGGACCAAAATGCCACGCAGATTAGTGAGATGAGAGCAGGAGCAGGCTGGCCTGATTAAAATGGATGTTTTATGTTTCCCCCCCTCCATGGTTATTGTGATGCTGTGTAAGACCCAGATCCTTGGCTGTGGGAGGCGTGTGGGGGTGTGCTTGGTTCTTGAAGTGGGCGTAGTGGTGGCTGCGAGGAGGAGGAGGAGGAGGAGGAAGCAGAGAGGTAGCAATCTGCAACAGTTTGTTACTGGGGAAAATTGCATTAGCGTGACCTCCAGTGTGAAAGCGTTTATACAGTTAGCTATTTTAGGTGACTGATTGGATGAAGCTCAGGGCCTGTTGAATCTGTGGCTTCAAATAGAACTTAAAGATGGCTGGTCCTTCATTTCTGAGCTCCAGTCTAAAAATAATGGCCTCCATTAACTGGAAGCATTTCACTTTTGGTCATCAGTATTATCAGATAATGTTGCATCAAGAGCAAGAAGACGGTAACATTTGGTTAAAACATTTTTGTTTTTAAAAAATCGCTGTACATTTGCAGAAATAAGCCTTTAAAAGCCAGAAAAATGAGTTTAAATTAACGGGCTGCTTTTGCAGAATTCTTCCAGCCTTTCTTTGCTTATTATTTGTGTGATTCTTGGATGTTTAGGGTTATTTAAACTGAGTAACATTGCAGAGAAAGTAGAACTGGTTCCTGCGTTTATGTCCAGCTGATGCGATCTTATCAAAGTCTGCAGTTTAGTCTTCTTGTTAGCAAGTTTAAGGTGCAGCAACAGCTTCATAGGAGATTTTAAAGTGAAAGGGATGTAGTTCCTACAAACTACTTTCATTGTTAAAGGTGTTGTGGAGGGTTTTTAAAAGAACGGCCCTCTCCACTTAAAAAAAAGCACTTGCAAGAGCGTGCACAAGCCCATTTCTCCTCGTGCACACTCTCTTTATAAACTGCTGTACAGCGGCGACTATATAGTGGACTTAATAACCGATCATTTTGACAGATCAGATTTTTGCTCCGTTGGTAGCTTAACTCCTCAGTCGCCACTGTTGGGTAGCAGCAGTGGGCCGCTGTGACTGCAAATCCCATAATGCTTTGCGTGGAGAGCTCTCTATGCAAAGCATTCTGGGATATATCTGCCTCTTCTGAGGCCTTTCTCTTATACGTTTCGTAGACACTTTTTTCTCTTGCGATAATCGGCCATTTTCAAAGAACACCGGTGAGAAAGGTGAGCTTCAATGACCGTCTGAAACCGTAGCTCACCACAGATATACGCCTGAAAGTGCGCAGAAAAAGCTAGCTAACGGGACGAACGCGTAGGATGGCCTTACGTAAATATATCACCAGAATGATTGACAGTTAGGAGGACCACTTATTTAGACGATCCACCTGGAAATAAAATATCCTCCTCTATACCTTTAATGTTTTAATAGACATGGTGGTGTTGTTGTTGTTTTTTTTT